AGGAGAGAACCATGGTCGCTCTGGTCATATGAAATAGATGGCTGGTCATCGCTATCGTCTGTATCGGACACGACACTCCCGTTCACTGCGCGAATTGACCTTTTGTAGTGACCGAGGATATTGTTGCTCTCAAATACATCAGTTGTATCACCGAAAGATATTGAGCTGTTATCCGTGGGCTGATAGAATGCTTCGCCCCATTGTTGAGTGTGCAAGCGCGACGGTCCCGGAGTGAAGGTATAAGTAGAGATACCGGTTACCCCTGTTGTTTTGATGTCGAGACCCCTGCTCATCCAAGCGTGGATAGAGAGCCCGGCATCGGTAGAGCGATACGTTTGATTCACAGACAAGGGATATTCAAAAAGGACCTCATTTGATGCTTGATTAGCTCCTAAGGCTATGATAGTAGACCTCCCAGCTGTGTGTTGATTGGTCGATTGACTCATGCCTTGCTGGTTAAACAGACCAAAATTGGAATACGTAAGATTTTGACTCCATTGGAACTCGGATGATCTTATAGAAAGGGTCCTTTCGCCAAGAACGGAGTACGCCAGAAAATCGTTTCCTCCAGTCTGATTCTTGGCAAGGCTCCGCATGGCTTTGAATTGCGGATTAGGTGCATCAATGTAGGGCTTCTCTATTCCGGAGCTAGTACTATCCAAGGTGGAATCACTCAGATACAGGAAGATATTTCCAGTTACTACCCAATATGAGCCGATGCTGTTAGAGAGAGTGACGGTCCCGTTTCGTGAAACATTCAAGCCGACAATCTTAATTTCAAATGAATGAGGCCGACCATCTTTGAGAATGGGAAGGAAGGGCGATATGTCGATTTCAGGTTGTCGCAGATCAAAGGCGTCTATCCCAACAACCGGACGCCAGAAACCTGGTGCAACTCCACCGGTAAAAATTACAGGAAACGGCCATATAATACCAGCAAGAATGTCATCGACATGGAGTTGGACTTCGCGAAATGGGGAGTAACCATAAAGCTCGCCAATTGTGGCATTGAAGGCCGCCGTGTCGTACGAAAAGACATTGGACCACCAGAACTCTTCAGTAGACTGACCACATGCAGAAACGGACACAACTGCACGCGAAGTATTAGGAGGTATCCGGTACAGTGTCTTTGTATTATCTCCCGGAACAGTAAAGGCACTCGACGAGTTGGATGATGACTTCTTGGTAGATATCGGGAGAATTACATCTGCGGTCTGGCATTACCCTCACGGGAGAAGTATGCAGTTAGAGTCACACTGAAAGGGCCAGTATATATATCATTTATGATATTTCCAAGGTCGAAAATCAGCTTTTGCTGTGTCTGCCATAGTGCGTTATACTGCGACATATCTTTTATATAGGTCCAGACAATTCCGTCGGCCGTAGGTTCCGCTGTCGAGGTACGGAATACCTCTGTATCTCCAAGAAACAGAAGTGCTAATCGATCGAATTGGCGGCCTTGGGAGGTAACCGTGAGATTAATCTTAACCGTATCGAATTCACATTTGGGTGGGCTGTAGTAACCTATTGAGAGAAAATCAATATACTGCAAATCTGACTGCGCTCGTTACTCTGATTACCTATAAAGGGGTGTCCATAGCTCGAAGCAAATACATGCTCCATGAGCAGTACGTCTTGGTTACAATGCGAGCCGTCACCTCCCCCGTATTGAACAGGGTGATAAACTTGAAATACTTCTGATGTGCCCTTAGAAGGAGCAGCTAAAAGAAAACAAAGCCACAAGACTGTGCGAAACAACATAGTTACGACGTAACTGCCTCTGAGTTGCGCTAAAGCAGGTCTGGATAACAATCCTTGCGTTCGGCGAGTTTAAGACACCACAGACCTTTTCAATTGAAAAAACGGAGGGTTGCAATTTATGCTTATCATTGGACAAATTCCTTTGTAATTTCTCTAGCTGGTAATTGTCAAGTCAGGCACATATGATGGCTTTGACGAATATTGAAAGTTATTAGAGTGCTGTAATCAAGATAAAAAACCCGCTTGTAGGCAGGGTTAGAGAAATAACAGGATATCGATTATGGAATGAGGGGGCAGGTCATAATATAAGAAGCAACCAGTTAGATACTAGTAGTATGGCCCCATTGCACATACATTAGCGTGGAATCAGGCCGTAGTGCCCATTAGCTGCAGCCAAAAACTTATAATCTCAACAACGGGTGTTTTGTCGAAGAGTCCTCGGCTGATGATTAAAGTGGTGGATCCGCATGAACCCCGTTGCCTTGTTCCCTTTCCCTATAGCTGGAGAAATTTTTCGGCTAGTTGTTAAGCAGGTCATTGGCTTGCAAGTATGGTTCCCCTGTTATAGACACGGTCCGTACATAGGTCTGATTGGAAAACCTGGCTCATTGAAGAAATGTGACGGAGATCATCGGAGTCCGATAAGTCCAATGCTACCACCTGCAGGGGCGGGACAATGCGGTCCGTGCAATTTGAGCTTTGTATATACATATCTTCTGTGGTGTGCTGCAGGGGAGATACTGGAAGATTTGGCGATGTCCATATTGGTGACATGATTGACTCGTCATACCAACTTGCACGTTGAATCACATCCTTTCTGAAGGATAATAGAGCTCGATGTTGATTTCCATTACTAGATCGAGTCACAAAACTGTTAATAGCAGCGTGGGCACGAAAATCCTGAGGAAGAGTCATCCTCAATATATCTGCCTTAAACATTTAAAACATATCTAGTATGCTTAGCTGCGTCAACTTTCAAAGCTGCATGTAGTCGCACTCTCTGACACTTTTGACGGTTACGTAAATACCAAGATGCACTGTTGAATTAGCTTCCGCATTGGTTAGATGGCTCTTCACTTTCTCTCTTTGTCCTCTGCCACGTTACGCCCATTGCTGGGTAACATATGGCAAGGTTTCATCCCTAGTTCTTTGCGGCTATAGAACGAAAGTCTAAATGTCAAAATAACAATAGAATGATACCAGGCTGTCGCTTAGTGAAACAAAGAGAATAAAACGGGAGACGTCCGTTCTCTGGTGATATGGTCCGGCGTATAGCCCAGGATCAGAGCGCATGTTAGTTCTAATATACAATATGTGAAGCTCCTGAGTCCTCTCCCAACCAGAAAAGCACACCAATAAACTCTTTTTTTCCCTTCTTCTCCATCCTACTCACATGAAAAGACGCCAGGCACCGAGAATCAAAGCGGCGGTACCGGTGCAAACACCCCTGAAAAAAAAAAAAAAACAATATATTAGTACAATGCAGAGCAAGTTTCCAGGATTCAGGGTTACACACATCAGCCACTGTAGCGTAGAGAACTTCACGGCCTCTACGCGTTCTCTCAGACCCGCGACCTCCTGCTCTATTCGCGTTTCCGTCTCTTTTATTCGCATTTCTTGGCTGTTTGCTTCTTCTCGAATACGACCTTTTTCCAAGTTTAGGTCCAGACGAACAGATGCTTGCGTGCGCCCAATCTCATCTCGAAGTCGTGAATTGAGCTTAGCCAGATCTGCAGCAATCTTCTCATGTGACGAACGCGTTAGTTGCGCTTCAGTTGAATCTGCGTTGAGTAGTTCGGAGCGGAGTTTGGCGAAATCGACTTTCTGAGTATACGTGGATCTTTCGGTGTCTTTGGGAAAAAAGATCATTAGCTTCAGAGTCCAGGAGGTGCTATGCGGAATGTGCAGTGATTTATGTCTTGATGCTATTTGACATGCTTCGGCCGAAGGACTTAGGTGCCACTCACCTTCTCTGAGGACCATTGTCCGGGTTAGATTCTGAATAGACTCTTGAATAACATCATTTAGGACCCGCATCATCGCAACAGCCTGTTCCTCACTGAAACCTTCCTCTTTCAACCGCTGAACGAACTTTAACGTATCGAAATGGTGGTCCCGTCGTTGGGGGGCGGAGGCATGAAAAGCGCGCCGAGCTGGATTGAATGCGGCGACGTAGACACCATTATATCGGATAGGGTTACCTGGGGGCACCGCTGGTCGGCTGGTTGGACGACTGGTTGATTCTGGTAATCGTCTAGATATCGATGATAAGGTTGGCTCTCGGATTGTTGCGGAGATGAATGTAGAAGAGTGAGGAGAAAAGGTCAAAGTATGCAGTTGTCGTCCGGCAGGGTTCCAGCTATATATGCGTAGCGTTTTCTGTTGTTGCCTTGCTGATAGAATGTTGTTCTGGGGGGGAGGAAAAGTAGTCCGAGCAGAGGAGCCGTTCCATGTCAAGCGAGGGAGTATAGACCGTGGCACTTCGGTAACGGACTTTTGTGGTGCCATTTCCTTGCACGGTATAATAGTAGTGTTTTGGGCGAGTCAGGCGCAAGTAATTTGTAGGAGGGGCTTCCAAAGATGAATGTCTTTGACCAGATCCATAAAGTCAAATGACGATGAGGAAGCTCCCGCGATCCGGATGACTAACTAAGTGTTCCCGTACTCTCATTCGATGATCCGGGACGCCAGGCTAAAAAGCCTTTAATGGGTCTCGACTTCCCCGAGTCGGAAAACCGGGGACTTTCCCGTCTCCGGAGAAGTTCGTATATAAATCAGGATCCAAGAATACTAAGAGTCTACCGGCAAATTTCGAAGTGATAAACATTTAAAAGAAAATTGATATGAATTTTGGTAAAGCATTATATCACGGCCATAATAACCGATATTGTGACTGGAAATACGTACGCGGTTTAAATATACAAAAGTTATACATGAAGTAGGAACGATGAAAGTAACAAATAGGTGGTACTAAAATAGCTAATAGGCCTTTTCTAGTTCTACCTCCATAGGCGGGAGTTCTAGTCTATTTTGAATAGTATCTATTAGCTATGCATTGATAATAACCAATTTTACTAGCTTCATTTAACAAAAGCAAGATCTTATGATAACTTCAGCTTAAACATGATTTAGCCTGTCTCGGGCATTTCTAAAGGAATGGAGGCCGTCTAAAAATGATGCTTGTTAAATTCAGTACAAGGTATAGGAGGGGTAATATTCAATTTATCAGATCTAAAGATCCAAGATGAAACTGGATTTAGAAGTGACTCACGCCATAATCTGACATTCTCACGTCATAATCGAGTCCTCCTGTAACGGCATAATAAGTATCAATCCTATTTGAGCCAAATAATTTAAAAGAGATAACCTTGCTGATTAATCCCAGGGTTATAGCTGGAATATTTCTTTCAGCTGCTTCATAGTATCTTCAGGGTCCTTGACCGCATGCCCAACTGTCCTAGAATCGCTATAGATCTCATAATCATTACCTCCGGGGAAAGACTTATCACCGAAGAAGTGAATGGTCTTGTATTCAATGCCCGAGAGATCTTTCTCGGCTTCAATATGGCGCAGGCAGTAGGTCTTGTCCCAGCCCGTTGGGAAAACGTCGAATGAGATCTGGCCACCAATCGAGTAACTACAAAGACTATTGTTAATATTGAATGTTGGATTGTATAAGCTCGAAACAATTGCATTTATGGCATACCTAAGGCCGTAGTTAGGAAATTCTGTCCTGAGGGCTTCTACGAAGCCCTTTCTGATGTTGTGCTGTTTGTCATAGCTATTATCATTATAAGCCAACTATAGTAATTCGGAGCAGGAGTGAGCTTCGCTACATACGCTTCGAATTCATTTCTCTCGTCGACACTGGCATTGCGACCAACGGGGCTGACATTAATCATTCCGTTGCGGAACTCGACGAAAGTACCACGTTTCTTTGGCAGCTGCAGATCCGCGATGTACTTGAGGCAGAAATTAACCAACTTTTGGTATTTCTCTTCCCCTATCCACGTGATAAAGCTGTTGCTGATGAGGGACCTGCCCAAGCGAATTGCAGTCAATCCATTTTCGGCAAAGCAAAAATCGAAAAGTGAGGAAACTTTTGTCGAGGATGTGCCTAATTGCTCTTGCTGCTTGGCAAAATCAGAGCCACCAACCTGTGCAAAGTGAGGCTGCGGGCTGCTTTCCGAGAATAATGGGGACTAACGGTTCCAATAGCACACTTATGGCGCAATTGAGAGAGGAGCTGGAGCATTTCGGAAGAGATAGTCTGCGGTTTCCAAGAACTGGTTAGCGAAGCTTCTACCCAAAATCCTTGAAGTGAGCCACCAAGACAGTGAGACATATCATCATCTTTCCAACCTACCCTTCTCGCAGGAGTCAATGTACCGTCGACATCGAAAAGGCAGATTGTGTCCTTTACAGGACGGTCCTCCAGAGCTGGATACACACCTGCGGCTTCCGCTGCCATGACGCTGTTGAGGAGATGGAAAAGTGCAAAAGGTTGAGATACGTAGAAAAGACGATAATCCCTAGAGGGAACAAACGTCAATCCGACATTCGCGGAAATTGAGATAGCTGGCTCCTTCTATAGCCACGAAGAATGAGTCCTGACCGCATGCGGCGGGAGGAGGGGTACCAAGCTACCAGGTAGTACCTAACTTAGAATAACTTACCTGTTTTAGGAAATTTATGTACTTGCACTGCACTAGGCATTACAGTAACAAATAAAGCCAGTCAACTACTGCCACGATACAGTACTACAATGAGTATCACTAAATAGTAGTATGAGTAGTATTCCGACTCCGGACTAAGTACATGGTATGTAGATATCATGTAGGTCGGCATGGGCCCATGCTTATCGATAACAACTTGAGCACGGAGAAGATAAGGATTATGATATCATAGGGTCTGTGGTCATTCAATGTCGAACACCGAAAAGACAAATACCTTCTTGAGTATCAACTCTAGGGGCTAGTAATGTCATGCAAAACACACAACTATCCCTGAATTATACATTGATTAAGCGTTAGAGCCTCCGACCTGGAAAGCCTCCCCATCAGTCACTGTTAAAAGAAAAATGAATGAATAAAATAAAAATAGATCAAAACAATAGGCCAATATGCAGCTATCGTCCCACGGTGGACTGAAAAACTTTGGCTGCCAATTCGCTTAATAACCTGGCACGGTCACCCTGCGGAAGATCTAGGAAGACCTCGTAGACGCTTTTGCCCTTCGCATCACGAACAGCGCCGAGCCGATTTCCTGCAACTGCACCAGCGAAAGCACCGGCAGCATTGGCGACAATAAACCCAAGCGCACCACCACTTATTCCACCAACAATAGACCAGAAGCGAGATGTAGGCCTGGTCCGCCGACGGCCATCAGCGTCAGTATCATCACTAGCGAGGCCCTCCTCGCGTAGCATCTCTTCAAACACAGAACCAAACTGTTCAGAGGCGCGTTGTTCACGGTCGCTCGTGCCAAACCCAAAAGAAGACCATGAAAATCCCCCGGTACCACCTAGGGGCACTTCATCCTCGGTTTCTTCTTCAACCGGCCTTGTTGCATCGTACTCTCTCCGACGTGACTCATCTGAAAGGGTATAATAGGCATCATTGATTTCCTGGAATTTGCGCGTTCGGGCAGGCCGCTCAGAAGAGTCGGCAGGTACACGATCAGGATGTGATTTCAAGGATTCTCTGAATGGGTCATTATATTAAAATCGTTAAGGTATGAGCAGACGTCGATATTTACCTTTTATACGCATTGCGAATTTCTCTTTGGGTTGCGTTAGGAGAAACGCCTAGAACTTTGTCTATACCCCAGTCAAAACAAGCACTATCGTTTGCTAGGGGTGGAATCGAAGATAGTATTTACAATAATCAGGTTGTTCTGGACACTAGATGTATTAGCGCCCACACATTCTAGACGGAGCCTTGTTTGGTAGACTTACTCGGCATATTATCTATATTAGCTATTATATAACGATCTATGAGTAGGTAGAGATTGCAAATTTGGCGTGTATGTTTAGAAGATGGCCTCCAAATATATTCGCAGTAAGATTAGTACGCCGAGCGGGGCATGAGATGGAACTTCTACTACTTAACAACATCCGCAATGCAAATGAAGTGGCACGGGAGGGAAGATGACGTAACCTGATGCCCCCGTTGATGCCTTAGGCCGAGAGTGTATATAAAGCGTTATTTATGACTATGATTTTTTAACATGTACTTAAGTTAATATTATCGTGTCTCCACGATATACACAAGTACAGAAGATTTCAGTTTCAAGTCTCTTCACTAGGCAGCCTAGACTACGGTATGCCCCGGACAAAGTTGGAGACAAAAGGGGGAAAAAAGGGTAAGCATAGGTAAAATATTGTTTAAGAAAAAACAAAAAAAATAAAAAAGTGGAGTACGCATCAAAAGATCAGGCAGCGTCAGAGAGGATAACATCAGCTGCCTTTTCGCTGACCATGTAGGTGGGCAGCGCGATATAGTATCCCGGTATCTTAGGGAAAACCGACGCGTCTACGACTCGGAGGCCATCGACACCTAGCACTCTAAAGCGAGAATCTAACACGCTATTCCTGTCAGTATCGGGACCGATAGGGTTGGTGCAGCAAGCGTGATGGCCCCATGCCTCTCTCTTGATGAACTCTTTCAACTCTGCTTCAGTCGTGATATTGGGCCCGGGCCATACTTCCTCAAAGCTTCCGTCCAGGGGCACCAAATTATCAAAAATCTTCCTCGAAAACTCCATAGCCTCGTACACCGCCTGTAAGTCTTTGTCGTCTGCATCGTTTTCTGTGACACCGGTATCGAACGAGTTGAAGTTAATGATCGGGGTGTCTTTAGGATCTGTAGATCTGAGCTCCACCGTGCCTGCATTATTGCGACTGTGTGACTTCAAGGTAATCCAAGTCCAATGCTGAGCATTTTTCAGAGCTTCGTAAGAGTACCCAGGAAAATATCCCTGGAAGTTGGCAGGGGCTCCGGATATGAGGAGGTCCGGCTCTCCATCCGAAGCAGAGGACTTCCGGATGATGGCAATCGCAATGCCGTTAGTTGTGTATGTGCCTTTGTCCAGGGCATTATCTTGCCACTGTTCAAGACAAGGGTCTGGTAGGCTATCCATGAATGTGCACTTGGTCGTAAGGGTAAAATCCGTGGGTGTCTTCCCAACCAGGCCAGTCTCATAGCGATCTTGGAGGTTGGAGCCAACACCAGGAAGGTCAACAAGCACTGAGATGTTCCATCTGTTCAATTCATCCTTGGGTCCAATGCCACTAAGCTTCAGCAGCTGAGGGGTATTGAATGTGCCTGCAGACAAGATGACTTCGCGGGCCGCATTGACATACCCAGGAGTACCTTCAGATGCATTTTCTGAGCGTGGATCCGCTCTGTACAAACTCCGACCGGTGATATAGTCCAACCCAGTTGCCCTAGGCTTATCACCAGATGTCTCAAAGCGTACATTGGTTACAAGAGTGTTCAGTTGGATATCAAGATGGTATTTGCGCGAGCCATCGGCATACACAGCATTGTGTGTGCCCATCAAAAAGTCACGGGGACCTGTGCGCCTATATCCAGGAATGTCTACAGCGAGAGGCACCTGGAATAGACCGGTTTGCTGATCATGATTCGCATCGTCGTTATTGAGGTCTCGGAGCAGAACATCACCAAGGCCGGTCATGGTATCGACAAGCTTGCCTAGTAGTTTCTGACCAGCAGCTGTAGCCGCTGCAATAACCAGGGACAACAATTTCTGATCCTCAAGAACCAGCTTCAGCTGTGTTAGACTGGTGGTGAGCCAGCCATTAAAACCATGCCCAGTGATACTGTTCGGTAAATAGCGATTACGCTCCAGCCGTTTGAAATAATCGCGCATCTTCTCGGCTGACCAAGAGTCATCACCCGTAGCAGACGCAATTTTATCCCAGTCACTGTCATAGGCAAGGATTGTGCTATCGAGTTGTTAGAAAGGATGGCAGACTGTATATCAATGGCTGGGGAACTTAGAATCTAACATCATGGCGTTGTGTGCGGAGCAACCGCCCAAGGTACCGGCTCGAGGATACAAAATTCCCAGCGGCTCCGAATTAGCAGGGGGATTGGGGCCAACATGAAGATCTCCAGACGAGGTTCTATACGTCATCTTCGAATCCTCCTCCTGACGGGTCAAGTTGGAGTAATGGTTGACGAAATAATCCCAACGCATTGGCTCATATTCAGTCGACTGCAACTGTAGTGCGGGCACCTGCTGCTTAGTTGCGTTGCCCTGGTCATCTCCAGCGTCGATAAGAAGGACTCTGTAGCCTGCAATGGCCAATCGTGCTGCCAGTGGGCCACCTCCTGGGCCCGAACCGACAACTACATAGTCGTATTCTGTAGCATTGTTGGACGCTATATAGGAGCTATTGGTGGACCGCTTATGAGCGTCATGAGACCAATGATGATTGGATTTGTGGCCACTAGTTTATAGGGCTTTAGTATCCGGTCGAAGACCACCAACGTGAACAGAACGACTTACGAGGTTAGAACGGGGGTAAGGGCCAAAGACGAAACAAAGCTCTTGAGAAAGAGCATGGTCAAAGAGACAGAGGGTGCACTAGCTAACGGTATATAGACTCAAAAGAGATGGCTTTCTAAAGTCGTGTAGTCTTTCATTCTTATATCTATTTATCAAGAGTAGCAGCATTCTCTCAGGAGAAGGACTCCTGAAGGTATGTTTGGAATGCATTATGATCATATGGTAAGGCAGCATTCCAAATGATCGACATGTAGTATTCTACATACATACGCTAGTTATTGTACAGAGTATCATTGGTTTCTTAATGGCATCTACTAAGGCCGAGCGTAATCTAACGTATCAGCCCAAACCGAATGATCTAAGCCACTAACACGGTTGCGCATTTTAAGACAGGAGGGCCTGAATGAAAACGGGCATTACCTCTCTCCTTGCATGGTCATTTAATTTTCCTTTTTTCTAGAATTAATACCCCAGTCTTATTAGACTCACAGTGTAATTGTATTTTTGTGGCTTGAACTGGTACGTAGGACTGAGGTTGCAAACATCACAGCCCACAAATATGAGCATATACAACCCGACAATATGCAATAATCTCATGCAGATTATTATCCCTTGATCTTTACTGCCACTTGCAGCCCTCACCGTTGGCAACAGCCGATCAACAGTATATTCTCTTCATATCTTACAGAGTGATTATAAAAGGTAGACTAGAAGCACCTGCAGGGGTATAACACTGGGCCGGTATATACACCACAGGCATATTATTGAGAGTAGCTATACGACCAGTCATAGATTGGGGAAGCGGGATATTTGGCCATAGGTGGAAATGCAATCTCCATGTGGGCCGTAAGCTGCAGTCCAACGTCTGGGCCTGACTATGCCGTCTACAATCCGCATGTAGCACCTCTCCAATCCGTTTTCGGGATATGAAGAAAAGGAAAAGGAAAAATAAAAGAAAAAGGGAGACCACCACCCAGAAACCCAAGGGAGTAAATCCCACGAAGTTGTCTGCCCGGTTGAGACAGTTGAGTGCTTACTCCACTAGCGCAGGCCATACTAGAATAGTGGTCCTAATGGAAAATAAGCCGGTGTTTTACCATAGAGTATAGTTGATGATGATCATTTGCATTATCTCACAACCAGCCTCGCTGGATAGAGCATGTTAAAATTAAAATTAACGTACACTGGTAGTGAGTCAGAAAGTGTCGGCCCGGGGGCCCCAACTGTTAGGGTCACTAGTATCAACTTCATCAGCAGCCAAATTAGACATCGTACTAGTAGTAGTACTAACTGGACTCGGTAGCTCGGGAGAACTCCGTTCGATCGTTGAGAACTTGGGTCTAGGTTTATACATAGTACATGTGCAAGGAAGTGGAACCTCCTCATGGTACATTTTGTGGGTTCTGTTTTTTCTACAAGTCACTCGACACCACGATATGTTTGACGAGACCCTTTTACTATTAGAACCTCTTTTCTTTTTTGCCCCTTTCTTTTGTAAAGTAAACATTCCTCCCCTATTTGCTGGAAACTTCGGCAGCGAAGACATTTAAGTAACAGTCTAATATTTAGTCGCTTCGGGGAATGGCGGGTGACAGTTAGGGTTAAGGTTGACTATACCCTAGAACAAGTAAAGATTTACCTAGTGGAGATACTTGTATCTACTAGTAACCTTAAAGTTGTCAGACACAACTAGTGGTTAATATTTCCGTGCTCTTTGACAGATTGAAAATTAGGTTATGGAAGTCTGAGCCCGAGGGCGGGCTAGTACCTTCCTCAGTTGTTCTAGGATCCACATTTATCAACCCGTGTCTTGAGGAGACGTGGTCAGAAAGAAGGGTATATAAAGTGCAAAGAGAGAAAAAAAAAAAAGAAAAAGAAAAAGAAAGGGAGAATATCCTAGGGAAGGAAGGACAGAAAGCAGAAGGCGCAATGGCAACGAAATCAAGACCGTAGAGAAAAGAATTTATGACAAAAGTAATTGAATGACTGGCCATGAATCCTGCAAGGAAAATCGAAGTTTCTTAAGAACATCGGTGGCTTTGCAAGTCAAATTGGCTGGAGTTGTCCATGTCTACAAGGGGAAGGAAGTCCGAATCATCTCCTTTCACTTTAGGCTTACTTTGCACCACGCCTTCGAGCCGAGAGCTGGCACCCCCCGACCGGCTCGTGCTGGTTTGAACCCTTGTATCGCCGAAAATACTGGGAAAGATGCGGGTCAGCAATGAGCGGATAGCCGGTAGGCAGGCACAAATAACTCCCACGTGGACCTCGATGGTGCTCCAGTATCCCACTTGGACATAGTCCCCTGTGTGGTCGGTTAATCAACTATGCATTAATACTCCTTTGATAAGGCAGCGTGAACTCACAGGTCAGGTTATCGGTATTTGCAAAATGAATAAGTGATTCCAGTCGTAGTATGCTAACCAGTGTGACACTGTTTCGTATGAGTAACTGATCTATAGCAGCTCCATGCCAAACACTTACAAGATACCAAAACTGAACATACACATCACAAAGAGCTTCTTTCGCAGGGAAAGCTGCAAGTGGTAGAGCTCACGGAGAGGCATGATCATGACGACTAAGTCCAAAACCATATTGAAGACGGCTGCCGCCCAGCCTTGTGCATTGATATCGTTACACTGATACTGGTACTCTTTATCCCAGTGGAGCCAGGCTCCATCGAGAGGCCGGCACTGGAATACCGAAATCAATACAAATGCAATCATGTAGCAAACATTGAGGCCGATCACTGTGTAGACAGCATTCCGGAATGAGCGCTTTGGAAAGACCCTTAGATAAAAGAAAAGAATCGATATCTTCGTCAATGGCAGAATACTAAGGTATAAGCACTCATCAAAGAAATATATCTGATACTCCTAATTTAGTACACTATATGCTGCAGGGACACTCGTGATACTAACCTTGAGAATACGGGTAATGTTATCAAAGGGAAGCGTCCAGATATCTTTACCGAGACCCGTATCAGCCACTGTATGCCATGGTCAGTGTAATTGCCCCCTACTAGGCTACTGTGGTGCACATACAAACGACAGATAACGATGAGAGGGTAATGACAGGCAGCTGTAGTGTCCTGATTAGATATCTTGCGCCCTTCGTCTGCCTATTGGGAGAGATCATACCATGGTCACCGCCATTATCCAGTCGTCCAACCCAAATTCACCACCACAGCACTTCATCCTTGCCATTATTCGAAGAACAAATGCCATAAAGGCCAATACTCCTCCCACAACACCTGCGATGGATACCACTTTCGTATGGTTTCGCACTGGTTGACCGCAGGCTGTCATTGAGATATTTTTGGTCGCTACATACAGTTAATCGGAGATGTTAAGGGCCAAGGATATCACCATACTCAAAGAATCCCGGACCGTGCAATTTGCTGCAACACATATTTCTATACTGACAGTGAGAGCAGCATCAGTGCATATACAGGCCTGGTCTGTAACTGCACAATTAGACACTGCAATGGATGAAATCATGCAATTGAGCTGAACAAGTCAGCTTTCCTTCATATCAAACGTGAAGCTGTGTGCTTACACCACATCGTGGCATTTTAGCTGCTAGTTCCTGTAAATTTGCTAAAATAAGCCCAGGAAATGCTACTGCCAGCAGTATCCTTGCAAGGACCATCTTCATCCTGGGCGGTTCTACTACCGTGTAGTCGAAAAGAAAGCAACAGCCAAGAGGAAAGAAGCAGAACGTAATTGCATAAAGCGAAAGAATGACTAAAGCTGAATATTGGAGAGAAATGGCAAATGGCATATCCAAGGGCGCTTGACCATTTATCAGGACATGGATAAAATGACTCGCCAACACCCGTATGGTTTAGCTGAATGTATAAAGTGGATGCTATAGAAGGTGATGATCAGCATAGTATACAGGTTTTGAACAGTACAAAAAAATAATAAAAAAAAGAAAGAAAAAAGAGGAACCTCACTTTTGTTTTTTATCTTTTGAGTGGGCTCAATCTGCCCATTAGATATCGGATATCACATACATGGACTGGATCCTGCTATTACGTCGATGTAACGTTGAATTCTCATGACTGCTCCTAAGTGTAAACTGATATAAATCCCGATAGAAGCAGCGGCAGAATCTACTTACTCTCTAGTGTCCATCTTTTTCTTGGTTTTGATTTTCACAGAACAAGGATAAGGGGTTCGCTAGTACTTTGGCTCAGTGCTCCATCTTTGCTTCCGAACATCTACCCACTCAGAGGAGAGGAAATAAGGGGGGAAAGAGGTAAATGAATTTTTGTTTTTAATCGATCAGGCTCACGCGAGCCCATGGTGAATGTGTGCAGCCTTGAAGGACCGGTCTCTACTGCTCGTTGCTCATGAGTATAATGGTTAGAAGCTAATCCCGCGGCGTTCGCGAAACTTGAGAACGATCCCGGGATCCATTCATTTCGGCGATAACTCAGACTGTTGTCGTTGCTGTTACCAACGATTCGCTGACACGATAGAGATGGAGCTTAAATTGGGTAAAGCCAATAGCCTAGCACTCTAGACTAAGGAGCTACCTAGTAAACAGTGATTGCAACCCCACTAGGTGCTCGACCATTACGGGGGTTTTCTAGACCTAATAATTTGGGTGGCGTATACTCTAGATGTAGATACGTCGCACACCGTAAGGAATGTGGATCACGAATCAATACATTTGGAGTGCCGTAATTTCCAGGAAGCACCAAGGATTGAAGCCAACGTTCCCCGACCCGTCCGCGGCAGCGGCACTTGGGAAACGCCACAAGACTCGACGCACCCTAATTCTAAGACAATTAGGATCAGCACCCAAGACTATCAACACAAGAGACATAAAGATACACTCTACCTAGCTAAAATAGGGAAGTATTGCGATAGCCCTTGGATGGGCGGGTTATCTCAGCCTGTCTACCAAGAAAAAGAACCACTAGCCCTAGTCAACTTTTGTATGCAATCGTCAATCTTGGACCATCTGAGAGTTATAGTACTGTGACACTGTGGTGACTCTTGTCCTTTTTCCGTTAAAGGGGTGGTATCAAAGTCTATCTACTTATCTATCTATTTTCTATGCTTAACTTTCAACGTATAAAAGTTACTAATCTACTATATAAATCTCAGCCTAAGGTCCAAAGAATCTAGCATAACCACCAAAGCTATTGATATGGAATAGGGTTATTTGATGTACCTGAAGTAAATACTAACAGAACTGAAAAAGTTGTTAAGCTTTATAATTTTTTATGCCTGGCTCGATTATGTATTTCTTGGGATAAAACTAGAATTTTACTATAGCACAGACAGTACTCTCCCGCCCGAGGGCCGCGACCCTCTGCTAGTAAGCTTAGCGTACTTAAGAGTAAGTGAAATTTAGTGGCTGGTAGAGAGGAGGGGGGTTGTTGGGATAGGTCAGGGGCAACTATACTAGTTAGTACTTTAACGGTTTCTCTTTGAAGCTACTCCGAGCTCGGTACTTACGACGACTCAGGGGAAGGAAATTAGTAAATAAAAGTCGCCCTTTGATTTCCAGAAAGCGAAATAGTATGTAAGTACACCTTATAAAGGTCAATGATCTATCAATATACATACCATTGAGAATCTGCGTTGCTGCCCTGTGCACTTCTTACTTATACGTTCGGCATTAACATATGACCGCTAAATACAGTACATTCCTTTTTTTTCGCCTCTGAGCCAATCTTTCTTTGAGCCTGTCCTTTTGGTCCCTCGTTTTGAATTATCTGTCGTTGTCATTTGCTCAAACCATGAGGACTTCTAAAGTAATTCTGCCCTTGATTACTCTAGGACTGGGATCCTTGATCACAGGTCTCCCTCCAGAAAAGAACTTGCTCGAAAAGATGAGAACTATGGGGCATATTGAAAAGAGATGTCCTTATCCAAATATACAATATCTAGTCAAGGCGGGTGTGCACAAGCGCTTGCTGATAGATTCTATGAGATCTCCAATTGATAGTAGGTCTTTCCCACATGTACCAAGTATGAGTGTCGCTGAAAGATTATTGAAATGAAGTCACTGGGGAGCATACCTTCCAGCCTCCAGATTTTGAGAAAGGTGATCAGCGTGGACCTTGTCCTGGCCTGAACGCTTTGGCGAACCATGCATATATCCCTCGCAGCGGTGTCGTGTCTGTAAGTGAAAGGCCTGCGTGTTTAACGACCCACAGGCGTCCATATCTGATGATTCATAGTTCACCGACGTAATTGCTGCCATCAATGAAGGTAGGCTTATACCCATTTCCTAGTTGCAAAATTTACCAGATTAATGACTATAGTATACGGGATGGGAGTCGATCTTGCGACGATCCTCGGCGCGATGGGTACAGTTTGGACAGGGAATCCACTGTCTTTAGATCCCAGCTTTTCCATTGGAGGAAGGGATACAGGCGTGAGCAATCTTCTAGGGAACCTTGGGGGTCTCCTTGGTTCGTCTCTTACCGAGTATCTAACTGGGAGCAATCTCTAAATTGTCACAGGCGAGCCACAAGGCCTCATTGGCTCCCACAATTTCATTGAATCTGATTCTTCCAATACGCGCGATGACCTCTATACAACCGGCAACAACCACGCTCTCAACATGAGCAAGTTCATGGAATGGTACGACATGTCCATGGACGGCACATTCAGCATGGACCTGATGGCAAAACGAGCGAAGATTCGTATGGATCAAACCAAGCAGACCAATCCAGATTTCTACTACGGGCCAGTGACTGGGTTGATTGCGCGCAACGCCGGTTATCTATTTCCGGCAAGACTTTTTCGAAATTATTCACGAGTTAATCCAGAGGGCATTTTGAGTAAGATTTAAGACTGGCAGTCAACCTCGAAGGCTTGGGAACTAACCGTTGAATAGCCAAGGAAATAGTTCGTAATTTCTTTGCTATCTACGGCGAAGAGGGCAACTTTACCTATCGGGAAGGGTGGGAAAGAATCCCTGAGAACTGGTACAAGACTCCAGTAGACTATGGTTTGGTGCAACTCAACCTTGACACACTCGACTGGCTCCTGAAGTATCCCGAGCTCGGAAGGTGAGCATCTGCTTCTGTCTGTCGACAGGATTTCCGACAAGTATTAATGAGACTAGTATAGGAGGAAACACTGGAGCCGTTAATAGTTTCACAGGAATCGATTTATCTGATGCGACAGGTGGCGCCTTCAACCTAACCACCCTCTTGGAGGAAAACAACCTCCTCTGCTTTGCGTTTGAAGCCCTGAAATTCCTCAGCCCTAACGCGCTCGCAGGGCTGTACAAGGCTTTGTCTATACCATTGGATATGATCAATGATGCAATATCCACACCATTGTTGAACTTCTCATGTCCCGCATTCAAAGATATGCAGATTGGTGGAAAGCCATTCTGGGAAGCTATCCAGAATGACTTTCCTGGGGCTGCGAAAAGTGGTGGCGCATTTTGACTGTGCTACTATTAGTGCTAGTAGTCGGTACACATACATTGGAAAATGCAATGAGTGTAGGCAAAGGGAGCTCATGCAGCACTCCAGTGGATATGAATATCATCTTACTATCGTTGAATTTCTCTTTTATTTGTTCCTTTACAGTTAAGTTCATGAACCCGCGCACGGGATGAGGTTCCTGGGTATCACCACCAATGAGGAGCGCCCGAAGTCTCCAGCCACCCACTTTGTTGCATAAGTGTATGTCTTTTGCTGAAAGTCAGTCTGTCCACTGTCCACACATCAATTCCACTTCATTCCAATCTAATTTCCTTCTCTTGCCTCTTTAAACAAGTCTCCCGCCTTTCCCGCTATCAAAACTTGGTTCCTTTGAGCCCAGTTCCAACATCGTTTTGGGAGTTCTTGTTTTCCGTCTCCGTATTACTTCAGTGGAATAAGTTCCTGGATTTTCTCCGCTCAATCATCCACATAGCCTAAGCAATTCTGGACTCTAGCGGTGGAGACAAAGCCGCTGCAGCAAAGAGCCTAGAATCTGGAATTGTGCGCATCTGCAGCAACCAACTCCGCAACTAGCTACTGGCATTATCGCCACAATTGAGCTGCATACGAGGACACGCACGCACGTTCTCTGAAACCATTTCCACCCGTCTTGCCCTCAGGACAAGGGAAGCATTTCGCACGATCTCTTCCCCCCTTTTCCCAGTTTTTCGCATACGCAGTAAGCGAACCGAAAGGTTTACCGAAAGACAATGGGCTGGTTTGATACACAATCGTCCGTTTCCTCTTCTCACTCGAGGCGTAAACGCTCTCCCTCCCGCCGGCCAACGTATTCCACCCATCATTCCCGGCACTCTGCTCCTTCATTCTTTAGCTTCAACGGCGGAGGCAGCCGCGCCGGCCGATCCAGTCCATCGGTCTACTCGTCCTCGTCGCGGCGAGCACGACCTCGGTCTGGCTTTGTCCAAAAAGTAGTCCATATCATTAAACGACTGCTACGTGACATCTACAAATATGCCCGTGAGCACCCAATCAAGGTGCTACTCCTGGTTCTCATACCGCTTCTTACAAGCGGTGTTTTGCAGAAACTGTTCGCCATTATTGGCATTCGTCTGCCCAAGAACATCTTTGGCGGTCAAGGTGGACAATCTCGAGAGGGCGGCATGATGGAGAACTTGAAATCTATGATGAGCATTGCGAAGATGATCATGTAAGGAGCGAAAGACGCTATGTCTCGATTTAGGCTGTGTGGTATAGCGGAGCGCTTGGCTGAGAAATGAATGGTACGATGGATGTGCGGAAAGGTAAAGACATCTATGAGCATAATGACAATGATGACATGATATATACTTGGTTTTCGATACTTGATATTCGCTTTCGTTTTTCCAGACTTATTATGTGCGATATTGGAGGGTTAGTTGCAATTCTACCGAGTGTCTTTTCTTCTTCCCTCGTTTTTCGGCATGTGCAGGTACATCTAAAGTGGTTTGTTTGAATCTAACAGTGTCTACTCCTGGAGTGGTGCAATTGACTGCGAAGGGCTCCATGGCATGTATTTCTCTACCTAAAAAGCTGGACAGATATTTAGACATGTTTGGGATTACGACTCTCCTGGAAGACAAGCATCGATGATCCGAAACTAGAAGATAATGAGTAATCATACAGAAAGCGGAATGCTTTCTATATCAGTCACGTCAAGACTTCTGAGAGCGCTTTCCTCGTCTTCTTGATACTCGACTTTTAGGTGTCACGGCAGAGTCGTTGGCTTGCTCAACAGCCTGCTCCGATACATCGGACGGTTCCTCATCGACGATCTCGTCACCTGGGGCACTAGAAGGTCCGAGCAATCTGCCAACAGTTTTATGATAAAACCAGACGGGCACCCGGAACAACATCGTGTCGCACACCGTAGGGCGTTGTATTTCATCGATATCCAGTAGGAATTCTTGCCGCTCACCATCTTCCGTTTCTTCCTCCAAGAACACTTTTCCAACTGAATCAACGATCAGAACCTTCCCATTCTCCGCGATCACTCTTTTCCTCTGTCCGGACGGCTCCACGGGTTCGCCTGTCGGGGTCGCGGTACCAGAGTTTCGGGAACTTGCCCGGTTTCCTTTTTTGCTTTCCTTGCGATTATCCTTCTCCATCATGCGTTTCTGACGGCGATTGATGGGCATTGCACTCGTTTCCGCTTCGGGTGTTGGGGCTGGGGCAGGTGCGGTAACATTGGCAGAATCCACACCTGGAATACCACGAACCCCTAGCTCATCTCCCCAGGCAGCCCTCCTCGCCTGACGAATATACCGATCAACGAACTCGCGCTGGCGTTTCCAACTAAGAACCAAAGCAGCATAATGAGCACCACCCCCAAAAGCCAAAAACAGGCCAGTCAAGACGGATCCTAGCCCCGGGCGAAAGCGGGAATAGTAATAACCGGTACCCTTCCACTTGGGGAAGCCATTTTTCAAGAAGTAGTCGTAACGCTCTCGGCCCGGCCCACGAAGGATATTTGCAACGGTATTCAAGCGGGAAGCACGGTCATGGGCTTTCTTCACAGCGGCGTCAATTTCTCGCTTACTCGGGCCCTGATTGACGTGGACGCCCGGTTGCTTGTTTTTGGCTCGGGATTTATCCTTGGAAGCATTGGCGATGAAGGATCGCTTGACTTTATCCGGGTGTAGGAGGCGGGACTTCTTGCGATAGGCTTTGTTGATGTCATCCTGGTTGGCATTGGGTTGGATACCGAGGAAATCTGTCGATATAATTATCAAAACATTGTACATTTCGGGGAAAAGGGGGGGGGATAGAACGGTAGCGCACCGTAAAATGTCACATTTGTACCCTCCGTCGCCGCAACTTCATCACGGAGGGAGAAGATTTCATAGTCTAGAGATGAATTGCGGTTAGAGTATACTAGCTATACAAGGGAAAGTAGGGTAGCTGACCTTCCTTAGTCCAGGCCGTCGCAAGAACAAACAGGACAGCAAACACGACCAAGCGGAGTGCTGTGGACTTCATCTTTTGGCAATGAGGGGAGCGGTCAAGCCGCTAAACCCGAAGTCAATTGGAAGGAGAGTACCTAGCGCGGGGGGTATTACTCAGGGAAGCCAACACACACACACACACACACATACATACACAAACTATGAGTTGTGGAGGATTATTATTTCCTGGCGAACATTTCCTATTCGATTATGTTACCGTATCATCCTCAGGCAAATAACCTAAGCTATGATCTGTCATCAGGCACCAAGGCGGTCAGGTAACTTTGATATACTCCGTACGGTACAGAACCAGGAAGGTGAATGATGGATCCACCATCCATGGCTACCCAATGTGACGAAACCCGGATTGGAGGACGATCCACCTTCCGCAGGGCAACGACGTGGACCAATGACGGTCACATAAATTTGTTGAAAAGTAAGGCGAGAGTTGAGGAGGAGAAAGACATTTGGATAGTCTGAGCGGGAAATCCATTCGCTATTAGGGATTCTGAGGAGTAGGAGGGGGAGTGCTGGGTTTACAATAAATGCAGCGTTGTCCCTGTTCAAGTTTGTTGTTCTTTTCCCCTTCTCTGGGTGTACCTGTCTTGTATGTACCAGTACCGAGTACCAGTACCAGTGCCCGAAGTACTAGTATACATACCACCGTCAGTAGTAGTTGGATTGGAAGATGATGGAGTAAGAGAGGGCGCCGGATCGAAGTGACGAGATGGCCGTCGCTCTTACTGCAACGTGAAAATCAACCCTCCATCTCCTCTGGACCGTGGTTGGAACTGGTCGTCTTCGTCTTTGTCTCCAAACCCAATCCGGTCTCAGCCAAAATCCACTTCTATTCTTAGCGGTGAAAGGAAAGGCCCATGAATCCGGGGAACCACATCTAACATACTATTTCCCGCCCTCTTTATGAGTCAGATGTGGACAAGATCTTTCTTCCTTTCGTTCATTGCCATCCTCTTTTTTTCTTACAATCGATTTCCTCTCCGAGGGAGATCGACCATTTCTCCCTTGATCGCCAAAGGGTGATTGAAATTTCCAGTTGTGGCTGCCTTGCAAGGCGGCTGGATCGTCTGTGCTTATTTGGCTCGGTCCATTTAAAAGTCCAGACAAAAATACGTACCGACCGAAAGGGTTAAACGTCTTTTACTTTTTCTTCAGCACTTTTCGGGCCAACTAAACCATTACCATTACCTATACTTTCCCCTATTTCTCCCTCGAACTCCCTTCTTCGGTCTGCCTTAATCACTTTCTGGCTATCCTTCGCGCACACCAGCTCGTAAATCCCTTTCGCACGAACTTAGAGTTCCGATCGTCTCCTATTCAATCACCATCCTTTACGTGATTATCCCAATTCCTTCGCAATCATCATAATGAGCCCAATCCAGATTCCTGTCGATGCGATTACCTCGCGTTTCGGTGAGCGCTTTAACAGCCTCCGATCCCAATCCCTAGGCTCTCGATTCGCCAACCTCCGGCCCATTTCCGAGTTCCTTGACGTCAAACGGGTCTCCAAGCCGGCCAACTTCGGCGAGGTTCAGAGCCGTGTGAACTACAACCTCTCTTACTTTTCTAGCAACTATGCCGCGGTCTTCGTGATGCTCAGCATCTACAGCTTGCTGACGAACTTTATGTTGCTTTTCGTGATCATCCTGGTTACTGGTGGTTTGTACGGGATCGGAAAGCTTCAGGGCCGCGACCTAGATCTGGGATTTGCCCGGTTCAACACTTCCCAGCTTTACACCGGATTGCTGATTGTGGCGGTCCCTCTCGGCTTCTTGGCTTCTCCCATCAGCACCGTACTGTGGCTGATTGGGGCTACCGGCGTGTGTGTGTTTGGCCACGCCGCTTTTATGGATAAACCGATCGAGAATGCTTTTTCAGAGGAGGCGGTCTAGGTGGTCGGCCGCGAACTCCTTACGGTATGCCCCGATGGGGAAGACCACCAGGGGCACAACGGGGGAGACAAACTGGGAGATGGGCGGATCCGTGGGTGGATGGTGACGCACGGATCCAGGAGATTAGCAGCGAGGACGAGTACCTTCTGCGGGATAACTGGGGTTTGTACGCGAAACAGTTGGCTGGTATGGGCATGGATGAAATCTTAGGGTGGCGGAAACGGATGTTGGAATATGACGAGTTTTCTGATGGGACGGGGTTTGTCGATGGTATGGATTATAGCTTGCATGAAGGCGAGGATAGTACGGTAGCTTATGCGGTTCAGCTGGCCTTGAAAGATGAAGAGGAATGGCACGTGGAACATGCCCTGGAACGGATCCGACGCGCCCAGATGCTGGGACAGAAAAATGTCCGATTATCGAAACGAGAACTTGGGGCACTGGAACGAAAGCGAATGCAGACCGGTAGCAAGAGGGATCCTGAACGTCGGAAACCCACCGCTAAGGGTTCTAGGTCGAGGGATAGCTCCACGTCAGACGTACAGCGACGCGGATTTAGTATATCGCAGTGCGGACAGACCGCGCCATATCGACTCGCCGGCAGCAGTTGGGCCCGCAGCTCCGGTGCTTCGTCTCGACAATCTCAACCGCCTACTCCGTCCCCTAAGTCCTCACCTCGATATTCTGAGCGGCATTCCACTATATCCCCGCAAGCGTCCTTAAGAGGTACAGCCCCCGCATATCCTCTCTCGGATGACCCCGGCCTGGTGCCTCCGTATCAGCTTCCTTATTCAAGAGATCAACATTTGCATGCAAGGCGTAGTTCAGTGGATCCTCTGCAGGGAGCCTATCGGCGACCATCGTCCTACATGTCAACATACCAAGCCGTCGCTAGCCCTAGCAGTGTACGGGGCTCATTCACCCCTCGGAAGACTCCATTTCGATCTACGGTGGAGGGGTCACACGACGATAACGAGGAAAGCGATTCAGATGACGATAGCCGAGTACAGAGCGTGAATGTAGATGAACGCAAAGTGCCGACGGGTCGTACAGCAACCGGCAGAGGAAACCGTCAACGCCGCCGCCGTTCTTAGATTCTGAAGTTCCCCAGTGTTGTGCTCCTTCTTGATGTCTAGTGGGAACAGTCTCTTTGGTTTGTCTTGGGTTACTGCTTGGGTGGAATTTGGAACCATTGTGGCTTTGCTGCAACAGACGTAATGGAGTTCAGTATTTATGAATAATATAGACTTTTCCATTTTTTCCCTTTTGCCTGATAATATCATGGTTTGTCCAGAAGTTGTGAGCGACATACTAGTAGACGGAGAGGAATGAATGCATAACAAGACTATTTATAGTACGGCGGGCGGTAATACTACTATTGTCATAAATTTCGAAATCTATGGTTCAGAACTTTTACCTTCCTGACTCATGAGTTTTCGGAAAATGGGGTAGTAGAAGATTACTCAGTATGCCGCGGAATCAGACACCTTGCCATTAACCATTTTGGGTGGGGGAATGGGTCCTTTGGGGATAAAAAGGGCATTTTTGACGGCCATGAGGTTACGTTAACCTGTCTGTACCTTGGTATGTCACTGTAAGTATCTATGGATAGACTCATGGGATCTTCGGAATTAAGAGATCTCCGGTAATGACGTCGACGGACGCCGGGACTGTGAAGTCATCAGAAAAATTTCAGTACGTAGTAAAACTAAGTATACTTAAGTCGCTCTCTTTCCCCCAGCCCTCTCTCACTATTGCCAATTGAAGAGGCCCTCTTATTGCATGATAAAGGCCGATCGACGGTTCTTTTTGGCCACTGGTTCTTGTTCGTTCATTTCTCCCAGCCTCACAGCCCCCTGGCTATATAAATTAAAATAGTAGATTATCAATTGCGTTGATCCTTTTTTTTTTCTTTTTTTTTTTTTTTTTTTTCTCATACAAAACCTAAGCAACATATTCCTCCACGACCCCCGGTTCATATTTCTCTTTCCTTTTTTTCTTTTTTATTTTTTATTCATCTCCCGACCGTACCCACCACGGACGGCTCCTTGCCCCTTACTGCTACCCCTTTCGCTGTATATCTCTATACCTACTTACAAGCGCGTGGGTTGGACAGATTTTCACCACCTGTAAAACTTATAAAACGCCACGAGTATCGGCATCAGCGCCGAGAGTTGCACGCTAGGCATCATTGTGTAAGTTTCGTCTAAGCCACTTCCGCAGTTTCCGGCGCTTATGTTTTACTGCCTGCTGGATCTCTACTCTTTATTTATTTTATTTTTTTTTCTCGCGCTACGTTATCTCTAGTAACAATATATGGACTGACATATAAAGTTTTAAGACAGTCATTGTACCGCTTTCTGAAAATTATAAGCTTTCTCCTTGGGTTCGACAGAATACACATATAGAACAAATTAGAGGGTCAGGAGCGAGGGGTGGTCATAATGTGGATCATTTCATTCTGGATTTTTCCGGTCATATCGGCCTTCATGTGGATAGGTATGGCTCTGTCGTTGGTTGAATGCGTGACGAAATAGTAACGATGACTAGCAATGCTCCTTGCAATGCTAGGCAATTGGGCGGTACAGGGCACGCCGATATATTCTAGTATGGAAGAGGGACAAACAATTGCGTATGGCGTTGTCTATAACCTGGGTACGATCGGATACTAACCGCAGTTGAATAGGTACATCTCCGATATTGGCGCACAGGGCCTCAAACCTTTGTTCATCACCGGAAGTGTAATAACGGTTGTATTCCTGGATCTCTCGTTCATCTCCGAACGGTGGCTGCGACACGCCGGTCAATTGGTGCCGAACAAAGGCAGGTTTGACAAAGCCTGCGCCATTCTTTCCATATTCTTCTCGATTGCGGGCGCCTTGGGGCTCATTCTCTTGTCGATTTTCGATACAGTGCGCCACCCGGACATGCACGATGGGTTCCTGGTCATGTTCTTGTAAGTCTGACAGCGACAAGAGAGTCAGACAAATAGAATGCTGACGGTTATAGGGTTGGTTACATCATAAGCGCGATTCTGATTTGCGCCGAGTACCTCCGCTTGGGCGTTTTCTACCGCTCTCAGCATCGGGTCCTATTCGCCAGCTTTGTAATTAAACTCATGTTCATTATCATCGAGATCGCCCTCGCCATTGCATTCGCCGTCCTCGGCAAGAAAGGTCCCAGCAAGAGAAACGCAGCGGCTGTTTTGGAATGGGGTATGTGATACTTGAAGCTTGATAATATGGACACGGGAGCTGAGCCAGCTAACCACGGTTCGCAGTAATCGCCCTCATCTTCACATTCTACGTTCTGTCCTTCGTTGTCGATCTGTTACCATCGGTGCGCACTCGCCGCCATGTTCCACAGGGCGAGAAGCGGATCGTGAGGTCTGAGATGGAGAATGGCATGGCTCAGCCTAACGCCACGATTGAAGAGCCATTAACGACCGACTCGGCCGGGCCTAATATGGATTATAGCTACTACCGTGGACAGCGCATGTGATCGGCTTGCTTGATAACTTTTTTACTGTCTAGATTGGGTTTGCATTTGCATTTACGGTGCATTAGGGTTATGTATGTGTGCTATATACCTCGGTGGGGCTGATTTCAGTGATGTATACAATCCTTGTTTGGCTTTTTATTTTGTTCTTCGATATACCTTCTAATGTGTGTGAATATACCGGTTACTTGAATATAACGATTGACATGATCAAAGAACCGTATCGTCTATCATTAACATTACCTAGTAGTCAACATCAAGGTTTATCATGTACATGCAACAACAATATCAACCAACGCCAAACACCAGCCGACTAGTAGAAAGCACAGGGAGATCAAGCAACCAGGGCCTCTCGAATCACATCCAACCTCTTCTTCTCAACCCCTACAAACCTCAAATACCCCTCCACACCCCCGTATCTCTCCTGGAGATGCCTCTTAATCTCCAAGGTAAACCCATCCGGACACTTGGTATAGTCCTCCGACAATCCCAACTTCCGAATTTCCTTCATCCGCTCCTCCACCTCAACCACCAACTCCGGTTCCGAACGCACATAATCCGCCGTCATAGCCTCGTCACTCACAACGCCCGTCAAAAGCAGCAACATCAAAATCACGAGCCCCGTACGGTCCTTTCCCTGGGTACAATGCACCAGCACCGGATACGTTCGGTCCCCACCGTCCCTCTGCGACGCGAAGAGCTCAAAAATCTCCCTCATCTCAGCCGTGCTGCTATCGAGGGTATCCAGACCCAATCCGATCAGACCCCGAGGCGACATGACTTGTTCCCCGACAATAATCACTGCATCATTACGGTAACCGGACGCCGCGAGAGCAAGGACCTTGCTGTTAACTTCATTAGTTTCCCCGTTCCAATCTTTTTCATTGTTGATCCATACAAGAAATTCCACCAATCCAAACGCCACAGCAATGATCGCTCGAAAGCTTTTCCGGTCAGACTAATCAATTGCCGGCGGACATGGGGCAATTGAAACAAATGGTCTGTGTTATTATTATTAGGGGAAGCAGAAGTTCCCGTTTCGGCATGGAGTTTGGCGGTTGCCATTTGGTGTTCCGTTCTGAGGATCATTAGCATTTCCATTGTCATGACTTGTCATATATTGAAAATGATAATATCATGTAGAATACAAGTAGGTTACTATGATATTTTGGAGGGAAAATAAAATTTGGGGGGGCCGGTGGGTAGGTAAGAAAGAAAGAAAAGAAAAGAAAAGAAAAGAAAAGAAAAACAAAGCAAAGCAAAGCAAAAAGGACATACGTAGACCTCAAATCAATAACAGTAGCTATATGAAGTTCATCTGCTAAACGCCGTTTATCTCTTTCCGAGGCATCATCTAGCTGGAATTGTTTACACGCATCAATAACAAGTTATTGGATTTATATACGAGAAAACTGGAAAAGTTGAGAGACTGGTTTACCCTTGCGCTGCGAAATAAAACACCTTCGTTCAAGACCCTATAGTACGATTCGCATGGCAATTAGTTCAGGCCCATCAACGGTAGTGTCGTCGTCCATCCTTCCTGTAGAGGCTCGGTTAAACAGTGATGGGCATACTTTTTCCCCATGAGTCGGTTAATGGAACGTCCAACATCACGAAAGTTGATAATGTTATCGAATGGGCGATCGGGAGAGTCCAGATCGACGCTGGAGGAGCGCGGATGAGAGGTCATCGCGGGTCTAATTGGGAAAAGAGTTTGATATCCAGGTGGATTCTCATATACGAATGAAAAACTGAATGAAACGAGGTGGCGCAAGGACTGAGATCAGACACAGTAGTAATACATCATATGTAGTGATTTTGAAAATAAGAAGTAGTGAGTAGTCTATGTCAGATTTGAGATACAACGCGCGCAGACCTTTATTTAAATGCAAGGCGACGTGGATCAAATTCATTTGATTCCAGCGTGGAGCCGCGCACCAAATGGCGGTGGAGAGAGAAAAAAAAAATAAAATAAAAAAAGCTGAATTAAATGGAACGAACCCCCAAACGGGGGGCTTTTTTTGATTTCCGTTTGATTCCCTCTATTTTTTTTTTTTGTCCCCCCCACCCCCCCCCTCTCTTTTCTCATAGAAATAAATAAATAATAATAGTACCCTTCGAAGCTATTCAACTTTCATTGAACTCACTCAAGTTCACTTGTATCAATCACGCATACTCCGCCCGGTCCTTCCATTCCGGCTGGAGATAACTCCAATCCCGGTTGAAATCGAACCCACTGCGATATTTTGCATATGCCTTCAGCTCCACCTGCTCCAGTCTCGCCCCCGCGTCTGTCAACGCCCACATGCTAATTGCTAGTGAATTCTGTCCCCGGTTGTTAATCACTCCCGGCGGGAATGGGAATAAGTTCTGCGGCCCAATATGCGGCAGATAATGGCCGAACTGATATCCATTCATGAATATCTGCACAATCGCCTTAGTGCCAGCCGCTGCGCTTAACTGGAGTCCAATGGGGACGTCTAAATCCTCGTCCAAATCTAGTTCGAAGCTCGTAGTATAAAATCTCCCCTCAGCGCCGAGTACTCCTTCTAAGGGACTACTGTCCAAGGCCGACTCGGGGGGTTGGTATCCTGGCAGATGCCAGCCCATCCGCTCTCCATAAAGACCACCTTCGTTCATCGGGCCACGCACTGGATCGATATTCTCCTCTCCACCTGCATTACCTTGGATACGCCATAACGTAAAGTTACCTCCTCCGATCAGTGTGGCCCCCATGATCCCCCGCGGATTCTGGGTGCCTATAGGCTTCTGGCTGTTCTGATCGTGGCCGGTGTAGTCCGTGATGATGGTAAGCACATTGTCGCGAGATCTGAGAGACGAAAGGTTGAACTTGAGCACCTCCCAGCTTGCGACTTTGTCGGCGTCTCCTGAAAATCCTCCCACGTAAGCACCATTCAACCACGCCGCCCATCCAGCTGCTGCGCCATTCTGCACCGTAACATTGGCCCCGGTAGCATTCTGTCCATCAAATCGTCCACGGTAAATCTTGGTCCCTGCGTGATACCCGTAGTCACCAGAGTAAAGTACTGGAAGAGAAAGAGGAGCGATCGAATTGACCGAAGTAGTCTTGTTGCAGATCGTCCACCTGGAGTCGTCATAACCTGGACTAATCTCAGGAAGTGTATCTTGCGCCTTCCATAAACTAAGCGAAGGAAGAGAGATCTCTATGTCTTCCGCTCCGGGGACTGTCCCGATAAGACTGCCGTATGTGGTTGCTCTGGTATCAATGAGATTCCCGTTCCAGCTCACCTTCTTGACATGCTCATCGCCCGTGTATACTCTAATGTAAAAGGGTTAGTGGCGATACAAACAAAGGGCTCGGCATCGCAACGTACTCTATTGAAGTGGAGTTGGAGTTGTCACCAATGACCTCCACAGTGTCATGCTTTATAGAAGCCCCCCGAACCAGATACGGACCGGAAACTAGGATATGCTCGTTAGGAGCAACCGTCGGGCTTGAAACAGTAGGGGGTGCAAAAAAGTTCCATGCGGTTTCCTTGTCGAGCAAGTAGACCAGCACTCCATTTGAAAACTTCACCGCTGTTGATCCCTCTCCTTGGACGTATGAATATTGTGTGCCTTGTCTGGTCTCCGACGTACTCAAGTTTGAATTGCCGTATGTGTGGTATTTAAGATCAGCCGGTGCGTCCTTGAACACAAAAACACCCTTTTGACCCGCATTCAGGTAGAATACAAGTACGTCCACGTCGAGCGTTGCGTACGTCAAGACCTCAGCAGACGAATACAGAAGAGAGGATTCACTGCCAATCCTGTAGTCTGTGACAAGTATCTTGCTTTGACGGCCATCAAGTTCAATATCTGGAATGGTAGTGGCTCCTACTCAGGTCAGAGAGTGTGTAAAGTGGCATTCGCATAAGGCACATACCTGCAGATGTCTTTACGTTCAATGAGAAAGTCGTAACTTCTCGTGATGAGCTTGTGTTGTGAGCCACAACATAAAAGCCAGCGTCCGAATCTGGGTTCCGAAGGGCCCAGGTGTAAATGCTGTCATCGGTAGTGTAACTGGTACCATTCCCTTCCATGTACGTTTTCAGCAGGTCCTTCGACACTCGGGTAAACAGTCCAAGCAGCTTGGTCTGTTTTAACTTATCACGAATCTCTCGGGTCTCTCGAAGAGGGGAGCCGTAGTCATAAGATGTGTAAACGACAGGAGCTGCACTATGGCCCCAGTTGGTGCCTCCAAACGTCATGTAGATATTCTGAAGTGTTACGCGCGAGCCGATATTATTCTTATAGTAGACATCTGCAAACTCCGGGGAGAGCTCTGACGCACAACTGTCATAAAACGACCCACCCCAAGGTTGAAACCAACCCCCTTCAAATTCGGGCAGATATTCGGGCTGTGTATAAGAGTAATTCTGGAACCACTGGTAGTATGTACGAACCAGATTAAATCCAGAGTTTGGGTTGGTGCATGAGAGGCTTCCAGGATATGAGTCAAGCCCATACACGTTAACAGCCCCTCCGACGTCCTTATAGTCAGTCGACCAGCTCACTGTGCGCATACCTTTTTCATTGTGGCTGCTTGGGACGACAATCCCGGCTTCCTCGAATGCTTTCGCTATCTGCTCCATGTAGGTGACTTTGGTATCATAGGAATCATAGGTTGTTTCCTGGAGTTCGTTCTCATGTTGGTTCAGAATAACAGGGCCGCCATTGGTGATTTGATTTGCTGCAATGATCTTGCCAACCTCCAGGATCCACGGTCTCCATCTTCTATAGTAGACTTCATCACTCGTCCGTTCACTGCCCATCTGTCCATTTGCGGCCCATAGAGCAAATCCACCGGCAGAAGTCTCCGCATTACAGTATGGGCCTGCCCTGGCGATCACATACAGGCCCGCTTGTTTAGCGTAATCGAATAAGCGCTGGATATCATGGGCACCCGTCGTGAAATCGAATACATCCTCTGAAGCACTATGATAACTCCAAAAAAAATAAACTGCACTATGTTATTAGTACATGGCATCTCTATAGTTCTGATGGGCTGTCATACCCGAGATGGTGTTAAATCCATTCGCACGCAATTTCTGAAAAACGTCTAACCACAGCTCGGGAACGGGGAGTCTCTGGTAGTGAAATTCACCGGAGAAAACAAAAAGTCGCTCGCCCTTCACGGACAGACTGTATTTGTCCCACGCCACATCAGTGGTCTTCCCATTGTCGATGCCTGATACCTGCGGGGCCCCCGTCAGAAGAGCAAGCCAAACAAGATAGACAAAACCGAATAACCGCATATCCTTCGCTGGCTACAATAGACACTGCTCTTGAATTTTCCATTGTCATTAGGTGATGCAAGTGAGAAGCATCCATAATATAAAGCACTGCCCTCCCTCGAAAGTGCCCTTCGGCCCTCGCGATATTAATGTCCCGGCTCGGGACAGGGATTGGTGGAAGATCAATCTGTTGAGATAATCTCCTTTTCTCCGTAATCGGGACACTGGAAATGGTGTCAGAGAGGGGGAACTACTTGCAAAATCTCATGATAATTTCGGAAGACACGCCTAGTGGATACAGCAGGGTGGCATAGGATACACCCAGCCTGTGGGAGTTGCATGATTAATAAGAGTACAATTAATCGTACATATATAACGATAGAAGCATTGTTAGATACTTGTGCTTTTCACATACTAGGTTGCAAATCAAGTCATGGAAAAACTCAGCAAAAAGTTAGAGCATTAGTAGTCCAGGCATGTCCCTTCATATGTACTAAAGTCCCGTAGAACGCCTTACCTGTTCATTCTCCTATAGTAATTCCAACTCCAAAAAGCACACAATCCACACCACAAACAAGAATAAAAAGATCAAACGGGGTTCCAGAACCGCGACAAAAGATGTACAGAAACCTTAAAGCAATACAATCACATCTTCAAAGGTCCTCAGAGAACCGCGATTCACGACCAGTAGTACCGTTGCTTGCTCGCTTTCCAATTGCTGGCGGAACAGGCAATCCTTGATCGGCGGCACTCTCACGTAGTGCGTCTCGCTCAGTAGCGTGCGAAGGTAATTCATCCGCAGCAGTATGTTCGACAGGCACAGATCCTTCATCGGCCTCCTTATTCTGATCTGTAACTCCGTCCGTCTTATCTTGCGAGTTCCTCGAGACCATCTGCGAAAGTCTGGACTTCAGACGAGATCGCTTGTCGTCATTCTGCTCCGGACTCTCCTTGGACCCTGGCTCAACTGCCTGCCCTCCAGATTTCGTAGCCTCCAGCGTACCTGCATCCACTGACTTTCTCTGCATTTCTTGCAGATCATCAGCTGTAACAGGATTGGACTTAAGAGGCGCACCACGTTCGTTATCACCATCCACCTCGGCTAAGTCAGTTGCATCAGCGGTTTCAGCTGTCTCGACTGACTCATTCGGTCCCTCTGCTGCCTGGGCTGTCTCTTCCACCGCGTTTGAGGGTGTCTCGCGATTGCCCTCCGCTACCTTTGGAGCTTCACCTGTGCCTGCACTGGGGCGACGGCCGCCCAACTTACTGAACCACGTTTTGAGTTTCGATTCTGTCCTCGTAATGGGCTCTGTAGATCCTGTATCTACCATGGCACCTGATGCTGTAGCCTCATTGCCTGCCTGCGTAGACTGCGGCTGCTCTGTTTCTTGTGGAGCACTCTTCGCATGCTCCTCAGCCGCACCCTCGAGTCCCTCGGTGGCCCTGGTTACGGTGTGTTTTCCTATAGTGGGCTCATGCTCCTGGGCCCTCTTAGCTTTCCGCCACAGCCATGTCTTTTCCCCTCTGCCTTTCAACTCTTGTTTCATGGCAGCTATTTAAGATTAGCAATGTGATGTGTTGAGGACGAACTTGAGAACACTAACCCTTCTGTCTCTTCTCCTCAGCCACAAGGTCGGCCTCTCGTTGACGAGCTATAGCTTCACGACGCTGCCTTTC